TCCCAAACTGATGACAACATAAGTTAAGTTATTTTTAATACCGTTCACTTTTAGCAGCTATACTTTCTCCATTGAAAATGGCTTTTCACCATGAGCAATACCATCAGAGGGTTTAAGAAAGCACAACAGTCTCTACTTTTTCAGGAAACGTGGCACGTCAAGGACTCTTACCAATTTTTGTAGATGCACCAAAGAAAGCATCCAAACATCCGTCAGCATTAGTGTGGTTTGGTAACAGCTTTTCCCAAGAACGCAAGAAACTACAGTCGTGAACATAGCCCAGTCCATCACACAAACTAGCCTTCCATTCATTAACTCCATCTACACTTCCCACAACCAACATAAATCAAAGACCCTTCTCAATCTGATTATACACTCTTCCACTGTCTTTCATTGAGCAGACAGTTTGAATACATGTGCGATTCAGGAGCGGTTTCTTCCCTGCTGTTATCAGACTTTAACTGACCTCTCAGATGTTAATTCTGATTGCTCTCTCTGCGGCTGTAAGTGTATTCTGCACACTGTTCTACTACCCTGATGCATTGTATGGTATTATCTGCTTACACAGCATGCAAAACAATATTTTTCACTGTATCATGGTATAGATGACAACAATAAGGACTATTTACAAGGTTTTCACAAGTGAACAATAAAGAAGTTTTATTATCTGCTAACTTTGAGAAAAATAATAAGGGGGCATGTCCTGCACCAGAGGTCCCAGCATCACCACTTGTCAATTTGATTTACTCTGCAAAATAAAGAAAAGATTAGAGACATTGGATGCTGCCAAGGCTACAGACCTTGATGATCTTTCAGCAATGGTATGAAGACTGTGCTCCAGAAACACTGTTGCCCTAGCCATGTTACACTTATACAGCTACAACACTAGCATCTACCCAGCAAAGTGGAAAATTGCCCAGATATGTCCTGTACACAAATGGTGGACAAATCCAAATCAGCCAATTATCAAACCACTCTTCATCAGCAAAAGTGATGGATGGTATTATCCACAGCACTATTGAGCACCACTTGCTTACTGATGCCAAATTTGGGTTTTGCCAGGGCCACTCCGCTCCTGACCTTATTGCAGCCTTAGTTCAAACAAGGACAAAAGAGCCATGTTAAGTCATATCAGTCTGAATGAACAGTTTCTCTCCACAGATGCTGCCAAACCTGAATTTCTCCAGCATTGTTAATTTGTGCCAATAAATGACTTCTGTATTTAGACTCCCAAAAACAGTCTGCTCTTCATGACCCAACCCCTGTTCTATTTGTCATCTCATTTGTTCCAGATGAAATTAAGCACAGCACTGATTTTCTCTTGAAGCACCCAAGACAGATTCCACAAGAGCCAAGAGGAATGGGGTGTTCTTGTGTTGTGGTTGGTTTAACCTTATCCAGAAGGTTAAAAGGAAAATACTGACAGGTCATGTGATCATCATGTTTTTGGACATTGTTGGGTATACAGCACTTTGGGATATTGCAGATATGGAAAGATGGTGTATAAAAGAGTCATTTTCTAACCCCCCAACCACCAGCAATGTTATGACACGCGTTGGTGGTGGTGTGATTTCAACCAAGAAGTCTGGGGTCAAAGGTAGGGACACTACCACTGCATCACAAGAGTCCCCTACCAGGGCCAGTAAAAAAAATTGATACTATTAAGGCAGTATTAGTCAGCCACTGAGTCTTCAGGGTCAGTACAACAGGAAAGCTGTGAACCATGTGATGGAGTGAAATGCACATAAAAGAGCACCAGCTTGCCATTGCAGATGGCTCAAGATTCCAACAATTGGGAGACACTGGTTGTAAGAATCTATTTTAGTCAAATGGGATAGGTGACCTGTCATATGGTGAGCCATCATGGATCCTACCATTGTCTTAAGTTATTAGATGCACAAGTAGTACTACCAGTTGCAGAAACTTAGTGTTCAGTTTTAGGGCCCTGCTCTTAAATAGTTTGGGTTTTGGAAGCTGAAGGGAGCACCCTTGCAGAATTGTAGCACCATGAACAGAATGGAAGAAAGTAGTATTTAGAGTGGAGAAGAGGCATTTCTAGCTATATCTATGACTCCAGAATGGTACATTACTCTTCCCTAGAAAGATGTCCTACAAAACCTGACATTGATACTAATTTGCACTAGGAAGGCAATGAGGTAGGTGGGGTGGTCCCACAGTTAGTTTTTCTACCTAGCTGCCTAAATAATCAGAACCTCACACAGTATGTTGAGATCTGTCATATGCAAGTGAGTACAGAAGGAGGCCAAGATAGGGGGAAGATATGGCTAGAAAGATGGTGGTGGCATGGATCATGGTTCTGGGGGTAGATGGCACCTATAAGTCAGGCAGGTTGCATGGGATCAGGACTGAGGCTGCAGTCCTTGAGACTTTTGCAGATGTTTATAGTTGAGGCTTTTAAAGAAAACAAACTGGGGTAGTGGTTTGAAAACTAAGAATGTTAGAGAATACTAGGATGCACAAAATATTTGAATAGTCAGGTCGTACAAGCCAAGAGGAAAGTTCAAGTGACATTGCAGTAAAGGGAGAGAAAAAAAAACCTAAAAATCAGGCAATCCTGATCTTTGAGCTGGGTCAGGACTGGTGTTAAATATACCTAGGCACAAAAAGTTAAAAAAGCATAGAGAAAAGAGTGTGCTTTTAGACCCTGGTCCTTTGAAAGGAGATGGGTCAGATTGAGGAAGTGTCTAGGCAGTGACTTGTGTTGTAAAGTTTAGAATTATGCTAGAGTGTCGCAAGTCAACCCAATGGGAGTGGAAGAAAAAGCTGCTGGTACAGCACTGACTTCTTGGGAAAAGCAGTGTCATAGAAAAAAGGTAAATTTATGACAATTAGAAATACAAATCTAGAACCATCAAAATGAATACTGAAGACTCAGGAAAGTGCAACAATCATGAGAAGCTAAGAGGAAGGAGTGTAGACTGAGCTAAAGTTTGAAGAGAATCTTGAAAGCTTTTGTATGCACAAATAAAAACCATTCCCCCTCCAGGTCACTTACCATGCTGCCTTGGAAAGAACCTGAAGAGTGAAGGTAGGCAAAAAAAATCTGGAACTCATGCCACTACAGCAATGAGTAGCTACAAGTGCACTGCAGTAAAAGTTAGTAGCTCACCACAAGCTAAGGGCAGCACTAAGAATGGACAAATGCTGGCCTAGCCAGTGATATCCATATCCCATGTTATACAGTAGTGTTGATTAGGGATTAAAAAGGGAGACTTTCATGGAAACAGCCTATGTGCATTAAATCAGAATCCCTGGTGCAAGAGGCCAGTCAGCCCAGAGTCCACACTGACTCTGAAGAGCATCCCACCCAAAAAGCCCCCATCTTACAATGCACCTAGCCAGCACATTCCTGGATATATGACTGTTTAGCATGGCCAATCAACCTAACATATGCATGTATGTTGAATCTGTGCCTGAGGGAGCAGACATTGAGAACATGCAAAATCCATGCCTAATTCCCACCTTGGGTGACTGCATGGGTCCCCAGCATTGAAGCGGTAGTGCTAACTACACAGCCATCATGCCACCCATTAAAGATGTCACAGGTTCTAACAGCAGATACTAAAACAGTATCTGGGCTTTTGAATAGGGTACAGAACAAGGCATTGATGCTGAACTTTTACAAAGTCTGACCTTAGCTAGGTGAGTACTGTGTACAGTTCTGGGTGCTGTCATATGCACAATATGACCACAAATCTTGTTTCTCCACCCCAAAAAAGGTTGAGATCAGAATCAGAATTGGTTTCTTACAAAAGACGCATCCAAAAGGGATTGATGAGTTTAGTCATGGGCTGGACATAGGTGGAAAAAAGTTTGTGGAAACAAAGGACCTAAAAAAGGGCACATTAGGTGGTTGGCAAAAGTAGTAATGTTTGTCTCAAGTGGCTCAGGTCTGGAATGCACCATCTGAAAGTGTGGAGGAGACAGGTTAAGTAGACATGGAAATGTATGGGGAAGGCATGAGATGAGTCATGTTGTGCATTTGGAGAGCTGGTGCAGAACGAGAGTCAAATAGCCACCTCCTGCAATTCTGTGAACCAGTCTTCCAACCTTGGAATTTGTTTTGTTCAGTCACCATATGAAATCAGAAGCAGGAGTTGGTGTTGGGCAGGACAGCACTAGTGTGCACAATTAGCAACAATTTTATCAATACTTCCAGCTGCTCAGGTGTAATATTAAATGACAATTAGATGTGGGGGTTGGAATATTGTGCAATGGAGTTCTGATGAACTTTCTATTGAAAGAAGTGTAAATGCTGTTAGATCAAAACACAAAGCAGGCAGAAGGATCAAAGGCAGTTAAGTGGCATTATCCATAATAGAAGATAGTCTAACAGGCAAAAGACAGCTCAAGGGACAAGTCAACTAGAAATTAAGAATCAATCATAGAATTAGACATTGAGCAATTGGACTGATAATTGAAAGATTCTAATATTTGGTACTTAAATTGGCATAAAGTGCACACTTTATAGTTATATGGCAGCATGTAGTCTTTAGCTTTACAAGCAGCTAAAGAATGTCAACGTTGCTTAAATTTTAAACTCCAGGAAGAGCATGATGCATCTTAGGGCAGTATTTAAGTCAAAATCAGACGCAGTCCAGCTAAGGGACAAAGATTAGCTGAATTTGATAATCTTTGTCAAGTATATAAAGGAACAGCATTATATTAAAAATCTTACTTGCCTCTGACAACAGGTGGTAATAGGACCATGCAGGTAGATTACAGCAGAGCCAAAAAGGAAACTTAATTGACATTGACTATTCTGTGAGGACTCAATTCTATTTTAAATGCCATTTGTACTTTACAAGTATGAGATGCCTTACAGCCATGAAAGGAATATGCTGATGGGCTTCATCTGAGCACCACCTTGGGGGGTGGTATATGAATTGCATGCTGCATTACTTTGAAATCAGCTACAAGAAAATGGAATTTAAAATACAAACTTTAAACTTAGGAATGAAGTGAAACAGACCAGAGGGCACATTGCAGCAATTTATTGGAACTAAAAATGCAATTTCAAACAAGGGTAAAAAGTGTTTCTACAGGCTTCAGTTGGTTGTCTGTGACATCTGCAAAGAAAAAAGGCAGAGTTAGTGTTTTGAAATCTTGACAAGGTCAGTTGATATTGTACAAAAATTGTGGCAAACAGTGATAACTCAGCATCTGCACTCAATACTACTTCAGGGTACAGTAGCTTTCAGGCCTCCAATAGGAGGAAAAGCTGTAGTTACATTTTAAATCAAGAGTGCCCTTTGGTATAACTCACCAAGTCATGTTTCTCTAATCAGAAAGGGACTGCAAAACCAGTTGATTAACAAGATGTCAATCTTTGGTACAATATGAAGCTGACTAGAAGTGTCAGCCCTTGTGGTGAGATACCAAAACCATTTCCTGAGAGGTGGTCTTTAGTTCATCACCAAAAAGGGTGGGAGGTGCTCTATCATCCCAGTGGCAGCCTCAATATTTTGAAACAGCCTTTCCCTCCCTGGGCTTCGATTGCATGCTGTTTTCTAGCTGCAATGCCCCAACTACACCCTAACCTAATGCCTATTGTTGGTGGGTGAATGTGAAGGACTCTGGTCAGTAATTGGCCACTTGGAAAGTCTGATTGGCACAATGTTGTGACTCCCATTTGATGGCTGATGGGGTGGGGGGGTGGTAGGAGAAAATCAGAAATCAAGATAACAAATAGTACTGCACAAAAAAAAAGCCCAGTGGCCCACCAAGACTGCTGAGCTATGCCTCAACTTTTGCCTATAGTCTAAATCCTTCTGTTCCTTGCCTATTCATAATTGTTTAAGATGCCTCTTAAATGTTGCTTTTGTATCTGCCTCCATGTCCTCTGGCAGTGCATTCTAGGCACTCATTACCTTCAACTGCAGTCCTGCATCTTAAAGATAGTCTCCTAGTGATGGATGTTCCATCTGGGGGGCAAAGACTCAGATCTCCAATTGAGGCATATCAGGGCACCCTCATATTTAACATTAAAGTGAAAATAAGCCAGGTTTGTCCAATCTCAGCTATACCCTCCAAACCAGGCAACAGCCTAGTAAGCCATTTCTTTACCCTCCCAAAGCCTCCACACACTTGTTAGTGGAGACATGAACTGTACAATGTTCCAAATGTGGCCTACACAGTTCTACACTATGCCCGACCAATGAAGGCAAGCATACTATGATGTTCTTGGCCACATCATTCACTCATCCCCTTCAGGAAACTGGGCCTGTATATACAGATCCTTCTGGAGTTTGATAGTGTGTTTACTGTACACTTCCTTCTTACATTAGACCTTCCAAAATGCATTACCTCACATTGTGAAATTAAACTCCATCTGCCTTTTTTAGCTCAAATTTCTAGCCCATCCTGCTGTATCCTCTGATAGTTCTCCCTGTCCACAGCTACCCCAATCTTGGTTGGTCTGTCTACAAATCAAAATCAGGCCACCTACATTCCAAGTCATTTTATTTATAATAGACAAAATATGCATAAATTGAAACAAATTTTATCACCTCTGGTACTTCTACAAAAGCCTCATTCCTGAAGGTCTGATTCCCACGGCCCGTAGTCTGTTGCAAGTTGGCTCTAGCTCTCCTACATCAGAAGAGAAATTGCATTTGATACTAATTAGAGTGCAGTTTAAACATGTAACAAAGCAATTAGCTGGCATACAAGTCATTTTCTGCTGTGGATTTCTGCTAAGGATGACTGATGTGTTACTGAAAACGTTTGGTTTTAATCCACTAGTGGTAAAACAGTATTTCAGTCAAACCTTACATTTATTGGTATCTTGTTCACTATGCTGGTCTGTGAACTGCAGCAAATTTACCTTTTTCTGCCTTTAGGTGATCCAATTTGTAAAATGGAAGAGTTTGTTCTTAAGCAGCTAAACTGGTTAACATGAGCCAATACCCAACCCATCTGGGGTGATATGGAGCAAGTTTTAGTCAAAACCCATTTTTTAAACCCAACTCTCGCAAGTGAGAAGAGGTTAATTTAATCTGGTCAGATGACAATTGCTTACTATTCAAGTGATTATAGCTTCGAGTATCTGAATGGTGTCCTTAAGTGAACTAACAAACCTTTTCGCAGCTCTCTTCTTTTTAAAGATGATTGTTCCAACAACAACAAGCAGGACTAAAGCAAGTAATCCCAAAATGAGAAGTACACTAACTCCTTGCATCTCTTCCTCTTCACAGAATCTTCCAGTGTATCCTTCGTGGCATTTGCATGTAACCATGCCATTGACTATAGAGCATCTCCCACGCATGTTACACATCTGCGCTGTACAAGAGCTGGATCGTCCAGCACCTTGTGTTACACTGAAGTTAACCATTTGGCTGGTGGAGACCTTTTCTGTTACAGTAGAAACATTAGCATACTTCAGTGACACTTCATGACTAAGTGCTGTTGAAGATTTCTCTCTACTACTGGAGGAGATTGAATGACTTTCTGGATAGTATGTGGCAGTGACTGGAAGCCATTTTGAAGTAGTAGTTGAATGTTCTTGAGTAGAGGGAGACACTGAAGGTCTAGGAAGTACATGAGTTGTCAATGCAGATTGCTCCCATGTTAGAAAGCCTGAAGAAAAATGACTGAATTAGTTTAGGAATTCAAAAAAGGAAAAATACACATCTATAGTAAAGTCTTGGTCAAGTCTACAATGTGGATAATCAAGATTTAAGCAATCTTATGGCCCTAACAACGTTCAGATCAGTGCTATAAATTTAGTTTTGTTAAGTGAGGTATTGCATTTTTGGTAAAGGAGCAAGACTTGTACAATTTTAATTGTACGGCCCTGGGTAGCATTTTAGAACAAACAGACCTAGGGGTTCAGGTCCTGTTAGTTCCTATGTTGTGTTTCTTCAATGCGAATTGGCTGTAACACGACAAGAATAAGAATCCTATTTGTGAAACATGAACTTTCACTGCTTGTGTTGGTTGTAACAATTCTGTCCCTGTCACTTTTAAGTGTCATGGTTATTGTGTGACCTCATGAGAGAACACAACTATGTTATCAGAACCAACTGTACACAATTTTTTGAAGTTTGCATCACAGGTATACAGGGTTAAGGTAGCATTTAGCACATTTGTCTTCTTTGCTGAGACCATGAGTTGGGGCATCATGGGGTGGTGCAGGATAGTGAGGACACTTGGAGTACCGTGTGCAGTTCTAGTTACCCTGCTATGGGAATCATTACCAAGTGGGAGAGTTTAGAAAAAGATTTACCAGGACATTGCCAAATTGGAGTTATAGAAAAATAGACTGGGACTTCCCCCCACTGAAGTGTAGGATGTCGAGGGGATACTTGAGGTCTAAAAACAAGGGGCTCAGATAAGATGAATAGCAAGAGTCTTTCCTAGGGTGGGGGAGGTGTTCAGCACTTGGGGGCACATTTAAAAAAGGAGGGAGGACACGATTTTAAAGAGGACATCAGGGGCAACATTTTCCAGACGGTCATGTGGAATAAGATGCCAGAGGAACTGGTGGATGCAGGTCCAGTTACAACTGGAGACTTACTAGTATATGAACAGGAATGGTTTAGAGGGATATGGGCCAAACACTGACAAGTGGGACAAGTTTAGTTTGGCGGACATGGTTGGCATGGACCAGTTGGACCCAAATGGTCTGCTTCCAAGTGGTATAGTGTGTAAACTTGTTCATGTGCTCAGAGCAAAGTTGCCTATGTAATTGAGATCCACCTCATTTTTCAGGGGGGTGTGGGTGGAAAAGCACAAGTGACAAGCTTATGGCACTGAACAGTTGCTATTTGAAATTGCAATGTTTGTTGCAATGAATCATCTTCGTACCAAAAAGATCCGACTTGAAATCACTGGAGTAGTGATCAAAACCCAAAAATCAAAAAAGGCTGTACATTTAAACAGCTACAAGGAGTATAATGTGGGGCCAACATTGGAGGACAAAATTCTCTGCTGCAGTGTTCACCTGGCTATTACACAGAGTTAAACTTGCAACCAGCCAGGGATCAAAGACAAAAAATTTAATCCATGCATTTAGTGGGATAATGTCAAATTTAAGACTACTGCTGATAATGCTTTCATAGTTGTCAAAACTAAAGTCAACATGCTCATTTGCAAATTAGTAGACTTGGGAATCTTACACTCCATTTCATCAGATCCATCAGCACAATGCTTTTTGCCATCACACACTTGTTTGTTCAAGATGCAGCTCAATTGATCTTGGCACTGCCAAGTCTCAGGTGGGCACTCCATGGCTTCACACTTGCTGCCATTGATGAGCAGATATCCCATTGAACATCTACATGATCTTCCTCCTGGGTACGCTAGGCACAAGTGGTCACAACCACCATTCTTCTCAGAACAGAAATTGTACCCTGTAATTTAGGAAGTGGGTGACATGTTATTTGAAAAGTAAAATTTCCCTGTATTAGAACCATTGCAACCCATATCTGGGATAACTGAAGAGCCCATGCACAAAAGGCCATTTCTAGTAGAACTGGATGTGTATAGTGCAGAGTTTCTTTCACTTTAGAAGGTTTGAGTTGGAGGTCTGCTAGCTTGTGCAATATTGGTAGTTATGTCAAAACAACTATATTCAAAGCACTTTTAAACACCCTATGGTCTTCAATGATATTTAGTGTATATTTCAGCAGCACATTCCATGTTAAAATGAGCATAATGCATTCAAATTGATTGTCAGCTCCCACTTAGCTTTTGAAGTACATCTGCAGTACTGCTAACTTTAATGTTAACACAAGTATTGTTTAAATAGCCTAAATTACAATTAGAATGCCTCAATTCAGAAAGTACTTTAGTCTCTTGCACATCTCAAAAGCTTGTGAAACTTAATGCAATCTTTGTCGTCCAGTTATCCTTCCTGCTTTCAATTCTCACTCCTTTGCCATTCACCAAGTTCCTAGTTGCTTCTATCTCACTGCAACACATTATGTTAACTTTTTCACATTTGTAAGAGTTGAAGGGTATGGACAAAGCTCAAGCAAGTGCTGAGCAATGCTCTACTCCAGCCCATTTTACATGCCAAACTGACCTTGTTGCTGCTGTCTGCTGTATACTTTCAGACCAACAATTTTCTGCTGTACTTCAAACCATAGTTGCTTTTTCTGTCCCATCATGCTGTACCACATCCTTGTGTAACCTATCAAATAAAAAGTTGAGTCATGATACAGACCATAGGCTACATTAGAAAATATTTGAAGTGTAACTTACCATCATGTATAGTTGTCCAGAAGAGAATGTCCTCCCCATATGCAAAGACAGACTGGGCTTCAAGGCCTACTTGAATTTCTCTAAATTCTGAGCCATCCAGGAGGACACTGTCAATAACATTGTGACCTGTTAAAAGGGAGAACAAAATTATTCAAAGGATATATTGGAGCTGTTCAAATATCAATACATGTTTTCATATTGAAGTCTTAAATTTTACTATAGTAAAACCTGACACTTTTACTGAAACAAATATGTACTTTGAAGCTAAGCCACTATAGATTCTAAACAAAAGCTTGAACTCATGCTATTTGATTACTTCATTGACAGTGTTAGTGTACTCAAGTCCTTTGTCCTGCCTAGAGGCAGTTCCCAGGCCTTTAGGGAGGCAAAGGGGTGGAAGTGACCAATTCATTTTAGCTAGCTGCCCAGGACAAAAAGCAAAAAGCAAAGCATTGCTAACAGATTATTATATCTAGAATAGATCAGCCTAGACTGTTGAAAGTTGGTCAGTGCATTAAGATTGCCTTTTTTCCCCCATTCCAAATGGAATTAGAGCCAGAAAGAAGTGTAGCCACAAGACATTGTTCTAACTGACAGCACTTCATTGGCTCAGCTTTATCAATTAATTGGCAGTTATTCTAAAGACCAGAGGAGAACTGTTGTTTAGTTGATTCTTTTCAATACCTACCCAAATCAATCCAATAAAGCCGAGTACCAGATTCTGCAAGGAGCAGGCTTGTAGGGAGGCGACACTTTTTCCAAAGTACTTTTCGTTTTTGCCCATCCATTTGGGAACATTCAATTCTTGGGCCAACCTTCTGGTCTTCTGATCCCCACTCAGAAAAGCACATGATACCATCAGGTGGATGTAATGAAAGTGAATTTGAATGGTAGAGATTGTCAATCAGTACAAGTCTGTAAGCACCATTTACAGATGCTACTTCAATTACATTAGGAATCCTGGTGATCCAGTAAAGATTACCACTCAACCAGTCCACTGTCAGTGATATGATGTCATTAACCTGGAAAATCCTTTGCACGGAGGATGAATTTGACCCTAGCATAACGTTTCCAACAATGCCTTCTTCAGAGTCTGAAAAGTAGACTAATTTGTCTTTCCAGACATAATCTGCTGAGGCCACTTGATTGTTAATTAGGTGGTATGCTAGGTGCTCTGGCAAAGCCTTTAACCCTGTATCTGGCTGTAGGTGTTTCAAGTATACCTGGTGGGGAGAAAACACATGCAGATGGAATAAAAGTGGCACAGTTAACATCTTCAACTTTCTAAAGCAACTTGAAGGGATCTTAACTTAAGTGGCTTGTTGAATCATTATACCCAATTCAAAAATAAAAAGAATCAAAAAGTTACCTAGGACACAGTAGCTTTGCTAAGGTGTTATACTTGAGCCCTGAACACCAGAAATGGAATAACTAGAAGAACTTAGATCAGTAACTAGCAGTTATACATGTTTACATTTGAGCTCAAAAAAGTTAAATGGAGTTTGTTGATCAGTTGATGTGACAATTTCTATTTAGGTTGACAATGCAGAGTTAGCCAATTTAACTTTATTGCAGGAATTTGTGCAACCTTCCATAGTGTTTGAATGCTATAGGATGGGCTATATCTGTCTTCATTTGAAGAGCCAAGCATTTACAAGATAGATTCTTATTGCACAACTGTTTAATTTTCAGCATGTGGTTAAATCCACTCCAAAAACACTTAAAACAGCTTAACCACTTGTCTATTGGGCCAGCAATCATCCATTGGAACAGAAACCAAGACAGCAGCTGATATAGTCTAGCCAGGCACTTAGTCATGAGCTAAACCTAGTACTAAGACCAAAAAAGGACAAGTCTTTAGAGAAAAAGAAACAAAGCAGATATCCAAGCCACCTTTTACCCTCCCAGATATCTAAAAGTTATCCTTTCAAATTGTTTATGCACATCTTGCAAATGACCAAAAAGGTCATTTTTCACCTCATCTTGTAATTGAACATTTCAAACACTTGCATTGTCCAGTTGCATTTAGCCAATGCTTCAAGACATTCAATAGTAAATAGTTGTATTAGGCCCTAGTACAATGAAATCTGCCTGCAATCTTTGGTCCATCAACTTAGCTGTAATGAACCATTTACTGATATTGGCCAGTCCTGTTCAGTAGCCCAAGCCATTTACACTAATCAGTGTGTAATTTGGATTATCTAGACAGTTTTCCCCATATCTTGGGACCATTATGCCCAGCTTTGCCCCACATCCTCCTGCACTTGTGGGATTCCAACATTGTTTCAGGATTCTGTTTCATAGTTCTCAATCTTCAATAGCTATACTTCCAGTTTCCAGAGGTAGGATTGGATCAGAATGCAAAGCTCAAAATTTGCTGACTAGTTGCTAGCCTTTTAATCTGGTTAAAAATTGTTTCAGGTAAACTTGAGGTAGTTTGTTTTGATCTCTAAGTGTCACTGTGCCTTAACACATTCCAATTGTTTAATGCTCCAACCTGAGTTAATTGCAAAGTCACTATCAAATGTCTTTTAAAATGGACTGAGCAGAACAAATTTAAGATTTTGCAGCCTTCTGTACAAAGCTCATTTCAGTTTTGATCAGGAAAACAAGTCAAATGTGAGCTGCAGTGGATCCAATATGAAGCAGTTACAGCTGCTCCTGAAGAATTGAGCAAAATAAGCCAGATTTCCTGTTTCCAAGAAAGGAACTTTAGTAACCATGCTGAAACCTAGCAAGTTACAAATACAAATTCACTTCAAATTGGTTAGTATGTTTGAAATTGTCATCCAAGATAGTGAATTGGCAATTAAATGGAAAGCAGACATGTAAACCCTAGTATCCAGGCTAATTTCAAATAAAAAGGTAGTTATTAAATTGCTGTTCATATTGGTTATGCTTTAAGCAGCTACACCCCAAAAGTAATAGCTACAAAGCAGTTTGAGACTGTAGCCATAAAAAAAGTACTCTCATTCCAAATTCTTACCTGAAGGAGGACAGTGGGAGAAATCATGAGGAGAAAAGGTTGGTCTTCAGATTTCAAGCAAGTCAGCCCATCATCTGCCAGCAACATGCCTGGTCCACATTGACAACTCCCTTTCAGTCCAGGGCCCAGTAAGCAGAAGTGTTTGCAGCCCATTTCTTCACAAGGATTATATACCTGTGGCTGCAGAATCTCATGCATCACCTGCAGATAAAACAGGTTTCCATGTTTTATTTATTCATTTGGCACATTTCCACTACACATGTCTCCTCTGCCATAGTGATTTCTCTACCTTCAATCCATGTGGTTGAACATTACGTTTCAAGAGGACAGTCCTGTTCTTTCCCAGTCTGTCAACTTTTTGAACAGTTCTCAGTTCCATGTCAGACCAGAAGATTTCATCTTCAAATAAAGCTACAGCAAATGGTCTACGAGTATGGGTCAGCTGGAAAAGCTGATTTGAATAACTGTTATTCAATAACATGCTTCAGTAAGAGCAAAGAGAAAAAGCTACTTAGTTTTGTTAAGTTCTTACCTTTATATTTGTGCCATCTAAATTGGCCACACCAATGCAATGCAGTTGACCATCAGCCCAAAGTAGTTTCCTACCAAGGGGATCAATTGTCAAACTAGTTGGCCAACCAAGTCTACTTTTGATAAGGAGCTTTCTGTTGGTTCCATCCATTCCTGCTCTCTCAATTTGTGGCTCACTTCCAATCTCAGCCCAGTACATTAGCCTATAAAATGGTAAAGTACTGATTATGGCACATATTTATTAATGTCTTGAGTTTTGCTCAGCTTTGATCAAAAGCTTCAGGCATTGAAAATACTGGTAGTATTGAAAACCTGTGTGGGTTAAGGACATTAGTTTCTTTAAAAGATGTGAATTTTTTGGCCTATGGATTGTGGGTGCAATTAGTTAACCTCAAAACAATTAAGTGTGCATTACCAATGAGTAATAAGTGCACACTAAGCTGGGAATATTGGCCAATCAGTAGTGTAGCTTGAAGTATCATTTGTCTTGTAGTCAGAGACAAGACAGGAGTTAATAACAAATTTTGCTTGCTATTGAAGACTTACCCATTAAGTGGCTGCAGAACCAAAGAATGAGGTTGGTCAATATCCGTATCAACTACAATGGTATATTCTTGGGGTCCATTCAGTGCCATGTTCAACTTAGCTGCCAGAATACAACTAGAAACTCCATCAGTCCAATAAATGTTTCGGCCTACCCAGTCCACAGCTACACAATCAGATTGTATTTCTGCAGGGAGATTAAGTTAGAGAGAGATTGACAAGAAACCATGCTGAGACTCTGGTCCTTTTGTGGATGAATTCAGAGTAGGGGTTCCTTTTAGTTTTGAGGATTCTCCAGTTTGATAGCAAAGCCTCTCTAAATAGAGTAGTGTGGCTAGAACAACCTTTCAGCAGATTGCAAGTGGAAAGTTAACAAAAATCACTAGTGCATGCTGCTTTAGCTGCTCCAGGTAAGAGTGCAATGATTGGAATATTTCCAGCATCCAATCTGACATGGTGGGTACAGGGAGGCAGAGCAATCATTGTTGATTGAATGTCTAGGAATGTGATGAGATCTGGCAGCATCCCGATTTTATAATTCAAAAAGGAGTATCACACTTCCATAAAATTCTCATTCAGACCAAGCTTTCCCAAATCACTTGTACAGGATGTTTTACCACACCCAACCTTTAATTATTCTAGTTTAGTTTTTAAACCATCTAGTTTCTCCTCCAACTCCATTCTACCATGAAGTGTAGATATTCCTTGCAGTATCTTTTGCTATTGCAATGTCTTATTCCTGAGCTTCTAGCAAAAAATGGCCCAGCAAGTTAAGAAAAAAATCACTGCAAGGTTTCTTCCTGAGTATTCTAGTTCACTAAAATTTAGTCAGTCCTTTAAAGGATTAGTCTCAAGGCATCTTTTGTATTTAGTTTAGGCTATGGGTACCGTCTCCTCCACAATGCATGTGCAATTCTTTGCTAGATTCATGGCTAAATTCAGATGTTATACAAATAACAAACTTGAGATGGAGAATTAAATTGGAAGACTGGAAAGTTACATTTTCCAAATTTATGAACTAAACATTGACATGGATTTTCAGATTGAAAGTGATTATGCTTGCTTGTAACTTAGAGGCCACATGAAGCAACTGTGCTGATTTCACATTTGTTTCAATGCCTAGTGTGCAGCCAAAAAGTTGTTTGACTTAGCACCTGTTTTGCCATTGAAGTGTACAGACAGCAAGCCAGGAATTGAAGTGTGCTAGTATTGAAGTCTACACATTATGTAGTTAGGACACAATTGGACTTAAATTTGCAAAGTTAAATTCACATTTTACTCGACTAGGAGATTAGCATGATGCTTGTGTACAAACACCCAGCATCACCAAACTTCAGCTACACTGCAATATCACCAAGGAGGGAAATGTTTAGTTGACTTCCATCTAATTTGGATGCACGTTTGGGAAGGTCTTAGAGAAAGTGTAAGAACATTACAAAACAGCAGTGTGAGATTCTGCTTTGAACTAGGAATTTCAAAAGTGGTTGAGTTAAACTAATCGTTACTGGTAAATCCTATAAAAAGGTATCTGGATGGCACTACCAACCATGGTTGTTATAAAAAAAAAAAACAGGTCTAATCAAGATTCAGGAAATTGAAGACTGATTTAGACTGCACAAAAATCAGAGAGGCCAAGTGCTGAAAATCTGCTGCTTGAGTGTTCAGATGGGAACTATGATCCACATTAAGTTAGATTTTAAAAGCAAAAAAGATTAATTGATAATCTGACCTTTGATGAGTGTTCCTTTCTCTTGTTGATTCAGCTTCATCCACTTGATACTTTCAGAGTAAGTATCAACCCAGAAGATTACTTTTTCTTTCCAGTCATAATCCATGGAAACAATGGCACTTTTGGCAACTTCAGGCACAATGTCTTTTTTTGCACTGTGCAATCCATACAGCAAAATGTCATGGTGAACGGTTACAAGAAGAACTGGCTCAGCACCTACATTTTAAGAACAGGAAAAAAGGAATGCAAGGAGAGGGTGGTGAAACCATGAACCCCTAAAGAAAATTTCAGGTATTATCCATTGACATTAATTTTTGTAAACCAAATACTTTGCACCACACAGGAGGGCACTAGACCAAGTGAAAGTTAAATTTCATCAGATAGTAGGAACTGCAGATGCTGGAGAATCTGCCATAACAAGGTTTAGAGCTAGATGAACACAGCAGGCCAAGCAGCATCAGAGGAGCAGGAAGGCTGACGTTTCAGGCTTTCAGAAAGTTAAATTTCAACTATTATCTAAAATGACATCTAGAAAAACTAAGGATGAGAAAGCAAAGTTAGTTCTGAACATAAAAAAGGTTGAGATGAAGAGGAGACTGGAGAAATTACTCATGCAAAGGAGTAAGAAAGAGTTGCATGTTATGACCAGTTTAAGTAACTCATTCAGATCAAGTACTGTGATCAGAGTAACATTAGTGATATAGAAAGAATGTTGGAGTCATTGGCAGGTGTTGGAATTAGAAAGCATTTGATTTGTCATGTGCACCTAAATACAACAAAAAGTTGAGCACAGTACAGGTAGATCACAGTAAGCAAGGACAGATCTTGGTGAAAAACTTGAACACAGCAAGACATACTGGTTGTACCACCTAATGTGGTGTAAGAGGCAAGAACACAAGATCAGCATTATCTGCACTCAGTTCAGTCTAATAATGGCAGGGAGGCAGCTGTCCTTGAACCTGGTGTTCACACTTGTTTTGTCATGCAGAGACATCAGTTGTGCCTAGTTTGCTTGCTTTACCTAGTGGTAGATAAACATGACAGGTCAAAGATGGCAGCTAATAAGAGTGTAACATTTATAGTAATCAAGGAATTAGCACTTTAAAAACACTACATTGGGTTGCAGTGGCAAGTGGCAGTGTAAAGTTCAGATTTTTATTAAAAACTCAACTTTTCATTTGCATCAACTATGGTGTGCAACCCCCAGCCAACTTGGGTAATAAATTTAAGGTTGCACTTAGGCAGCTAGATATTCATCCATTATCAGTCATCATCTGGGAGACTTGTACAGCCCAGATTCATTTAAACTTTGAAGATTAGAGCTTCAGATTAAAGATTCCAGTTTAAGCTAACCTGGACTGACCAAGTGAACTTTGTTTAAAGTAGGTATCTGAAACATTTTTCAGCAGCAAACAAACTGTTGAAAATGGTCTTGTATTGGTCAAGATGTTTGCAAAATAGTGAAAATGGCACAACATGTTAATGACAGGTATTGACATTGAGAATGTACTAATTTGTTCAAGTTTGGCTTTAAACCAGATATAATCAAGATATTGCCAGACATGTAAATAATCAGAGAGGTTCAGTGTCATTCCAAGTTATTATTTCCCACAATCCAATTTTAGCAAGAATGCCCTCTTCATTACCACTGTTCTGTACTACTGAATGATTAAGTTAAAATATGGTAATTTTGCAAGTCTGTTTGGCTCAAGTGGGATAGTCCCATGTATACACAAAAATTGCTATCAAGTTCAGTAAGTGAAATGAATCACTAGGAAAAGCAGGGCAAGTAGGTGAGTATGTAGCAGATACTGGCCCAAGTTGCTAGAATTTAGGCTCTAACAAGCCTTGGAAATAGTACAGTTTTTCCCAGCCAATTTAAAAGCAGGAAACTTTTAAAAGTGTAATAGTCAGGAGTTTCCCAGTCAATAAAATGCTCTTTCCTGCTGTAGGATCTTGGGTTGTGTTCAAATTTCAAGTTAAATTCAACATGCTTTCTAGTACCAAAGTGAGGGCCTGCTCAATTAATACCATCAACTGAGCAAAATACTGGATGCACACTTGGCAGTCAACAAGCTGGCAAGAGTTAGTATTTGGTTTTGTCCAACTGAAAGATGTAAAATTTGAATTAGAGATCCAACTTCACTTAATTCATTGTTTACAATAATTGTAACATTGACAGCCCATGCTGGATCCTAGTCTCAACTTCATGAGAAGCCTTCCATTCCTCTTATCCCATGTTTACATTAGCCCTCAAATTAGTAATTATTTCCCTTAGCTGCAGGGGGATCCAACAAGCTTATGCTGTGAAGCAAGATTTTGAAATCTGCTTCCATTACATTGCACTTGGTCTTAATGATAGAAGGCACATTAAGATCTGTAGAGGTTCCAGTTACTGAAATATATAAAAGAAAATTTGGTGAAGTGTTCAAATAGCAAGTTATTCTGTGTCCTGTGGCATTGAACCAAAGCAAGCATCTTCTAGTAATTAGGAATTGCACTAGATGCAAGTCAAAGCATTACAATTATCTTACCTGTCACCTTACAACTGTATCCATCATGGTGGAGCAGGAACCCAGAGTGACAACTGCAGCTGTAGGTTCCATTCATGTTAAGACATATTTGACTACATGGTCTGGTTGGTAGTTCTTTGCACTCATCAATATCAATACAAGTATTGAAGTCAGCCATGAACTTAAACCCAATCTCACAGCCACATTTCTGTAACAACAGTTGTTAATCAAGTTATCAAGTTGACCCAAAGCAAGTATTGTAAACATGTAGGCAAGTTCAGAATTGTACATTGTTTTATGCAAGAACAATCTGGAGGTGTGTATTGAGGGCAAAGTGTCTAAATTGGCAGATACACCAAGTTGGGAGAATAGTGAATTGAGGATAATGCCGAGTGACTCAAGGGAAACTGGCAAGTTGGCCAAGATGGGCAGATACTTGGCAAAAGTGAATTTCAAAGTATGAGAACTAATGCATTTTTGGTAGAAGAAACATGGAGATGGCAGTCTCAAAGTTGTGCCACGTTGAGTACAGGACTGGAATAACCTTGGGTTTTGTGTGCATGATTTTCTGAAAGGAGGCCAGGCAAGTAGTCTTATAGGATAAATAAATTTAAAAAACACTAGAAGACCTCAGTTGGTCTGGCAGCAACTGTGGAGATATAAGAGTCAGAAGTTAGTTTCTCAGATCAAGTAATCCTTCCTTAGAATCTGTCCACTTGACCTGAAACATTAATGAATTTCTCTAGATGCTGCCAGGCCTGTTGAGCTTTTCCAAACAAGTTTGGTTTATAGCATCTGTAATTCAGTAGAGTCTTAGAATCCTTTGATATTAATTGGCATCAAGTACAAAAGCAAAAAAGTGATGTTACACTTCGACAAATTATTTGTCAGACCATATTTGAACTATTGTGCTCACTTAAAGGGAGTTAAAGCCTTGGAGACAGTGCAAAAGGACACTAGAAGGATTCTTGGAATGAGGGAATTTGGACAGAAGGAAAGATGAGAATTTGGGCTTATTTCCTTGGAGCAGAGAATATCAAGATGTGACCTCATTGGAGGTGTTCAAAATTCTGAACAACTGACAGGGTAAAGACAGACAGTTGTCACTAGTTGGTATGTCAATAACTAGGGGGTCACAATTTCAAGACTGTCAGCAAGAGGTAAGAATGAGATGGAGAAGCTTCTTTATTCAGTTGTAAAGATTTTGAATGTACTCCCTAGGGAAGTGGTGGAGGCAGATTTTATAGGTTTCAAAAGACAGCTGGACAGATATTGGAAAGTGATGAATTTGTAGGGTTATGATTATATGGCTGTAGAGTGGAACTAGCTGGGCAGCTCCTTTGGGAGTTATTGCAGATAGTGGGTTGTATTTTCCTGTTCTGTAGAATCAATGTTACAAGAATAGAAGCAGAAGCATCTGCAGATATTAAGCAATACTTACAGGTCCATGTGGTGTCTTATAACATACGTGCATACAGTCTTTGCAATCCTGAACATCACAGTCACCTCCCTCATCAGAGCTATCTGTGCAGTCATCTTTCCCATTACAGACCAAGCTCATGTTGATGCACATCAATGTAGCACATTGGAATTCAGAGCTAGTGCAGAGTCTTGGTTGGCCTGTACGAGAAGCAGAAGGTCAAAGACTGGACTGTGCCAAACACCATTTGAGATGATATTGGAAGAGACAAAGCTAAATCCTGGAGAACTACTTACACTTAACTTCGTCACTGCCATCTTTACAGTCTCTCTGTCCGTCACACTGCCAGAAGTCTGGAATACACTGGGAGTAGTCACCACATGTCCATTGAAATTCACTGCACTTAACTTTTGAAAGCTTGCAGTTCTAAGGAAAGAGCAGTTAAACTGAGTGTTCAAAATTAAGCATTGAAATTGTTGAATTTTGTTTAAATATGATAATTCACTAAGAGTATTGTTCATTTGTACTTCATGGTATGTGTACCTCTTTGGTACATGTTTGATTCAGAGCACTCATGTAAATCAAATAATGGCCTCAATTAACCCTGAGCTAAACATCAGATTTAATTTTTCTATTCTATTAGAATACTGATCAACCTCTCCAGAGTATTAGAAAATATCTTTTGCCAAAAAAGCTTCCATGAGTTCTAGTCCCTTTAGGGTGTCAGTCACTTCATTCTAGACTCAATGTTGGCTGCTTACTCTGGGGTGATATCTATTTCAAACCATAGGCTCCAAATATTTTCTACAAATCAAGTGGAAAGTTTTGTCTAAGGTCAATTAACAGTAGTGTTGATTTTGCATTGCTGTTTTACATCAACTTGACCACCTAAGATTCAAGATAAAAAAGTGGAGGTGTATTATACCTGTAGATGAAGTCATGACCCAATCTATTAGTCAGTTCCTTGGTTGGATTACATTCCCATAGTGTTATGTTGCCACAGTGAGGACCACAAGGCTGCTAAGATGACTGGCAAGGGTCACCACACCTGCGGTGTGGTGAAAAACAGAAGGCAAGACCTTCATGGCAACATCAGGTAGTACAGGAACTGAACCTGCAGTTTGTCACTGGGCATTGCTAACCAGCTGTCCAACAAATTAAGCCATCCAATTTCCCCCCACATGCAAATACCAAATCTGGTTAAACAAGGTTGTATTTGGAATAGAATTGATACACAACCCAACATGATTCTACTTTATTGCCAAGACAGCAAGTACAAGTTTTGCAAGCTATGAACTCAAATCTATACAAGCCATGTGGAACTTGACCAGCAAACTGATATACCTGTTCATCCATCCCATCTTCACAGTCCACATCATCATCACACCACCACTCCTTTATTATGCATTCCTTACTGACAGGGCACATCACCTCATCAGGCTTGCAAAGAGGTTTCTGTTTGGGACAGTTGTGCTCATCCGAATGATCCTTGCAGTCATATTTTGAATCACAGCGGAAAGCTAGAGAAATACACTGGCCATCATTGCAGATGAAGTCATCACTGCTACAACCTGTCCCAATAGAGAAAGAAATGGAAATGGAATTTTCTTGCAGACCATATACAGACCAGGCCAGTACCCCAAACAGGGCAAAAAAAATTGGTTGTCCACTGTTCTGAAGATATTTAACATCTGTTCAATATGGATATCACTGTGCATAGACTATTGTGGACCATTGTAACTCAAACCATTTGTTGAGGCCCAAGTTGAAGCAGATAGTCAAAACTTGATCAAGGAAGAGAATTGAGGGTAAGGAATCAAAATTCACTTCTACAGTCACCAAATCTGCACTTCAACTAGTTCAACACTTAGAGCTCCATTAAATTTGGGTCTGGAAAAGACTTTTGATATAGACAAATAATTGAGCAGGCACAAGAAAAAAATCTGCTAATGATGCTTTTCATGAAGTAATGTAATGCCCCTCAACCAATCTTTAATAAGATTTTTCATTGTAGTCTGGCAGAGGATTGTTTCAAGTCACTCAAGTCAAAATACCAGAGGCTTTATAAACTAAAGAGAGTTCAAGTTACTGCAGCATTCTCATTGCTGAGTGCTTTACAGATGAGTGGTAAGGGTTAACAGCAGTGCCCACTACATTCATAAGTGGCCTTGTAGCAGTTGGGAGGCAAGGAGCTGGTTAAGCACTCCAATTGCTAGGTTTTATTATCCATTTCTGGATTAATCAAGCATCTGCTACTGGGATAACTGCAAATAATCACATGGGTATAGTTGAACAGGCACTTGGAAATTTGTTGGTTTCTACAGTGCTCCCATGTCTAGTCAAAGACAAACACAGACTAGCTCAATGCTTTCTCCATTTCCAATAGAAGTGGTCTGATTGACTACACTTGTAGCAGGATTGCCAGCATTAACTTGGGATGAAAGAATTCCTTCATTGGAAGTAGACCCTTCTTCCAAAAACTAGTTTATACATGATCTTTGAACAAGGAAAGCAGTCTCCAAATGGAAACCAAGATTAAACCACAACTTCAACTAGGGTCTATACAAACTAGGTGTCAGGAGGAAAGGTAGACCAAATAAGTGACAGGCCCCAAGCTAAGAAAAATAAAGTATAGAACAGAAAAAGGGACAACTACCTCAACACCATTCATTCAACTTTATTACATGAAGTCAAAAAAGGAAATTCAAACTATCAATTTATGGAAGCAATACATGATCAGCTACATTGAAAATTTTATCCAAATTTTCAAATGTAGCTCAAGTTTATTGCTTAAAATTGACATTAACTCTGAAAGTGGAACCTTGGATTTTAGTTACTTGGGGTGGGTTGGAAGGAGCCCACTGGATCATGCTGTATAGAAGAGAAGAGTCTCTTCAGCCCATCAAGTGTACCACTAAGCTGTATTAAATCTACACTAGTCCCATAGCCTTGAACCCCAGTTGTTGCAAAGTTAAAGAGGACATTACAGCAAGGCAGATGGTTGAAGGAGTTACTTCCTTATCACAAGAATTGATTTTATAACCAAAAAGGCTTTCAGCTTTACTACCTGACAAGCCAAGCATCACTGCTAAAGAATGGTTCAAGGGTCAGTGGCCAACTTACTTTAATGCCACCATTGATGAAAATCACTTGCCAAAAAAGTGATTGAAGAAGGAATGTATCATCAATTAATATTACACCTTTTGCCTACATAGGAAAGGAGGTCATACCCTTCACTTCTGCTTTTAAAGTAGAAGAGTTTGCATTCAGTTGAAAAATTCAAAGTTAGTTGAGCCACCTACATTCTACAGCTTTAAGAGCTGAAGACTATTGGATGTGGGATCCTAGTAATGAACAGTTTAGCACTCATGAACTAGACTTCCACTGCTTGGAGGTAAATAGTAAGCTACAATTGTAGACCTGTGAAGCTTGTAATGAGCAGCTTTAAGCAGGGAGCAGTTGCTCATCTTACCACAGTTAAATTCATCAGTTTTATCTGTACAGTCTTCGCTGCCATCACATATCCAGTCTGAAGGAATACATCTCTGGTTATCATCACACCAGAAACCACAGATATCAGATTCTTGGCTGCAGCCAATTTCATCAGATCCATCTGGACATTGCTCAATGCCATCACAACGCAGCTCCCCCTGAATACATTTGGTCCCATCTGAACAATGAAATGCATCTGAAGAGATAATAGAGGTGTCAGTATACTAATACCAAGCTGCAACTAATTTGTGAAATTTTGGTGCAAGAATCTACATACCTAAAATTAAGCAGTAGATTGGAAAGTAAGTGTTCACTGAAAAGTCACAGCAGATTTAAAATATGCAAGACTGTTTATCATTAACTTTCCCCTTTTACTTGCACTTTGTCAAAATCCCTCAAGACATGTTGCAAGGCCTATAGTCAGAATAGAGAAGTGACTGAACAAGCACTGATTTCTTTAATGGGATTAAGAATCTTGCTCTGCTCCAAAAATTCAAATTCCTAAATTTGAAGAAACTACATTCCCAGTTTTAATATTTCCATCAAGTGTCCTTTGACTGCTCAGTTTTCATTGCACCACAAGTGTCAGACTTATACTAGGGCTCCTTAGATAGGACTTTCCAAAGGACCACTTAAGGACAGCAACAGGAGACAAAAGGAAACTGCAGGTGGCAGTGTTCCACCATTGGGCAGATTATTACTCACTATTCCTTCAGTGAGATGGTCAGAAAATGCAAATCTCAACAGGGGTGGGGGGTGCAGAGAATCAGCCACCCAATGGACTAGTGGTTCAAGTTGCAGCTTACCACCACTTAAGGTCAACTAAAGGTGGATAATAATGCTGGTTTAGCTGGCAAAGCTCACATCCCATGAATAGAGTGCTACTTCAATTTCAGCTTGGCTGCATTACTGTAATAAATATTCACCAAGGAAGTAGTCAGGCTCTAATGTCAGCAATATTGACATTGTTTTCCAGTGTTAGTTTAAAAATGTACACCAAAGTCCTTAGTTCAGCTATCAACCTAGTAAATAAGGTGTAAGGATAAAACCAAGTGAACAATGAATTCAAGCCAAGGTTTCACTTAAATCAGGATCTGTCCTTTGAGAGTCAGCCAATCACAGTAAAAACAAGCAAAGAGGGCTATTTCTCCCTTCAGTATTTTGAAAAGAATTCATCAGGTTAAAACTATGCTGAAGTCAGATGCTTCTCATTTCAATTGTTACAAGACAAGAGGCAGCAATTTAGCTTTTTGTTGGCACTAACTGAATGAGCACTGGAGATGGTAACTGAAAAACTGGAAATCCTAGCAAGTCTTGTATCAGTGGCAAGAGAAACAATACAGAAGTTGCTGGAAAATATCTTATCAGGTCTGGCAGCATCTGTGAAGAAAACCAACATCAGTTAATATTTTGGGTCTGGTGACCCTTCCCCAGACTGAAACAATGTTGAGGTGAATACGCTACAAAACTCAAGGTCGAAAAGTCACATCTTTATGCTGTAAAAGAGGGAAGACATGTGGGTGAGAAGAGCAGGTGAGCAAAAAAGAAAAGTCAAGAATGACCAGAGATCAGAGGCATCGGACCAAACATGGCAATACAAATGACAGGAGGAACAAAGTGAAAGCAAAACCATGAAATAAAAACATGTTTTTTTTTTAAAAAAGTGGAGAAGAGTTAGTCTAGGCCAAGGATAGATTATGGATTTTGACAGCTTCAGTCTGAGTCCAGAAGGCTTGAAAATTACTAAAAACAGGTGGTGCTGTTTCTCCAGCTTGCATTTGGCCTTCACTGCCCTGGACTTAGACAGTAGTACAAGCATGAAAATCACAATGAATAGGAACATTAGGGTCATGCTTGCACCAAGTTGACCTGGAAAATGGTCACAAAGCTTGGCCTCCCCATGTGGGCAGGGCTGGATTGTAAACAGTTGCTGCAGTAGACTAGATTGCAAGTACAAACTTGCTGTTTCTATATCCAATCATTAGCTCCTGAAAAACTTTGCAAAAGCAAAGAAGTGTGATTAAATACCTGGTTCATCACACACTTCTGAACAGCCAATCTCATCAGACCCATCAGGACAGTCTCTGTCACCATCACACTTATATTCCATACTGACACATTCAGACCCATCGTCACAAAGGAAGAAGGTGCGGTCACACTGCAGTGTTGTGCCATAGTCCTGCTGAACTTCCCAGGTATCTAGAAAGCAAAGCAGTGGTCAGGTTATAATTTTCCCCCCATGAGCACTGATAACTGCTGGGCAATGACAAATTGTGTTTGGGAGCCTTGTTATTTTCTCACCCTCAATCTGAAATCTTATTTGTAATTAGATTGGCTTATCAGGAGTGCTGTGGGGATGTCTAGAATTTCTGGTGATCTGAGATAAGCCATGGTGTCCTTTTGCTTGGGCTGCTCAGGGCATTTAAAAAAACTTGGCCACAAAATCAGAACTGAGTCAAACAGGCTATTGAGGTCCTGTTTTCACCAAAAAACATATTAAGAATTTTGTCTTCAAAGCAGAAGTCCTGTGATTGGGGATTTCTCTGGATATCCTTTGGATTGATGGACACCTAGGTTTACTTCTGGTTTTGGAAGTTTATTTGGAGCATTCCTAATTGCTTCTAACAGCTGCAGATTCTCCCTAGACTCAGTTGCTAGTTGAACATGACTAATTTAGTCTCAAACAGTTGCTACTTTGAAAGTAGCTCAGTTCTAGACATTGCATCTGCCTGGTCAAGACCTTGGTTTCAATATAACCAGTAAGGGCTGAAAGCCTGTCTACATGCAGCATATGCTGTCAGTAATGTTTTGAATATTCTTGATTTAATGAACTTAGTGCTCAGATTTTAATTGAATTGGGATCTTGCAGAATTTAAGTTTTTTTGGTGGTGGGTGAAGTTGGCTAATTTAATTGTCTGGATAGTATAATCTAAAGATTGGTCAACCATCACTTAATCCAAAGTAGTTTGAAAGGTGAATGCAAGATTACCACGAGAATTCAATGCAACCTCAGAACAAACTCTAGTGGACTGCTCAATGCATTGGTCAGAGTGCATTTCTGCACAAAATCTGAGTCAGTGTGGGAGTAGGCCATTCAGTCCACACAAGCCCTCTGAAGAGCATCCCACCCAAACTCAACCCCCATGCTAACCCTGCATTCCCCATGCCAATCCACCCAACCTGCACATCTTTGGACTGAGGTTGGTGGGGTGGGGGGGGACTGCAGAGAATCCCATGCAGACATGAGGAGAATGTGAAAAACTCCAGACAGTTGCCAGAGGGTGGAATCAAACCCAGGTTCCTTTAGCTGTGAAATGGCAATGTTAACCATTAGGTTGGCACAGCAGCCAAAATTGCTTGTCCTATTTTCTCTTAATGCATTAGAAAAAAGTGAATTTCATAGAATCAAAATCCCAGTGTGGAAACAGGCCCTTCAGTCCAACAAGTCCACATTGACCAGAACATCCCACCCCCTATAACCCAAAGTCTACACATCCCTAAACACTATGGGCAATTTAGTATGACCAATTCACCTAGCCCACACCTTTGGACTGTGGGAAGAAACCTGAGCACCTGCAGACAGAATGTGCAAACTCCACACAATGTATGAGAGTCTGATGTGTCAAGCATCATGCACATAGCCCATGTGAAATTCCTAGTTCAGTGACATTATTCCACTGGCAAAGACAGGAAGTTAGTGTTGAAAGCCCATCCCCTGATCAAATTATCACATGACCCATTATTTGTATGTGCCTGAAAGTCTTAGTGTTGCCAAGTTTACCCTAGCCCCCATGCTGCCCAAAATCTTTAATTCTGATTCTGGCAAGTTTGCACTTGATACCCCCTTGGAAGCCATGGCGTTATGTTCAATTCTGCACAGAATTGGAAGTCCAACATTCAGGCCCACAGAATTTATATTCAAATGGTATTCAAAGTAGCAGGTGGTCAGCTGTGGCCAACAAGTCCCAATCTGGGACTCAGTGACAGCTGGCTAGTACAGAACTGAGGAAGCACTGCACAGAGGTGCACTGTTGTTTCAGAACAGTTAACTGGAGATCCCATCTACCTGCTCATGTGGATGTAAAATAATCCCATGTCAGCATTTAAGTGGTATTATTCTAGTGCCCTTGTCAATATTTACTGATAATCAACAGGTTCTACTTTTGACTGTCATCCTACATTTCAAATCAAGGCTATGCTGTCTATAAGAACCCAAATATTGTATGCTATAAACAAACCAGAAAACAATGCTGGAGAGGCTGAGCAAGTCTAACATCTAGATCAGTGCTAGTGTTCTGACTTGTAAAAATTTTGGGTTGAAGACAGGGGCTGCCAGAATTTCTCCAGCATGGTTTATGTCCAATGTCTCAAGTGCTATTTAGAAGCAAGTCTAATACATACAACCATGCTACATAGAAGGATAATGCTTGTAAGCTATAGGTCAATTGTTAGTTTGCCAGGATGTAAATAAGTTACCTGGAGAACAATCTTCACCATCTGGACAAAGGCAGTAAACTCCATTAGTGTGCTGGATACATGTATCCCTCTCTGAACAGCCTCCATTATTAATTGTGCACATAGATCGGTTTCCTACAAATTAAGAAGCGCCAGTGCATGGTATTAGTTATTTCACTTACTGATAAAGGGCACCTCAATATTAAACTGAGGTGGCAGGAACAGCTATTGGCAAGCTAGCCATCAGGTTATTTAAAAGTCAAGAGAACAAAAACTAGAAAGTCATTCTAGCAAAGGCAAGAAATTGCTGAAAAGAATGGGATTGTATGGAGGAACTTTTAATGTTCCAAAAAGTCACTGTAAAAAGTGATGGGAGGTGCAAGATTTGTTTCATGCTCCCAGCTGATGCAGTACTAAAAAGTGAGCCAGATTTGAGAGAAATCTCATTTGATGGGTCACTAGGCTTTCAAAATGCTGCCAGTGTACTTGTTTACACAAGACCAAGTTATGCACACCAATCAGCAAATCAATTCAACCCTTTCCTAGCAGTATACTTAGGAGGGAAGTATTTCACTTTAAAGATTCCTTAATTGACTGCATGTTCACTAGTGTGGTCTGTCCCTAGAGTTCTGGGAAGGTATTAACTCTGCTTTGGATTGATGATAGTCTTCTACATGCAAACAAACTGCACTTTTGCTTGAAGCACCCAAAATCAACCCACAAACTGCCCCTGCTGTCTGTTTCTGTAGAAACAGAAAATTTGAATTCTGCTTATGGCTAGACTTCCCAACCTTTCTTGGCAAGGCTCTTTAGTTCACTAAATAGTTCACTATTCCACATGACTCCAATCACCTTCAAATTGGAAAAACAAATGCACATTCCTTCAGAAGTTAGCCAAAATCCATACCTTAATCGAAATGGTAGGTAAAGGAAAGTGCAGGGAAGTGTTTAATAGGAAGATGTACTTCGAATTCAGTGCCTGGACCAACAAGTGTCCAAAATGGTTGGTGTTACATTTGACAAGCTGTCCCAACAGGTAGTTTTTTTTAAAAAAAACTTCTCCCAAAATGTGGAGAACAAAATACAAAAGGAATGCAAAGTGAATTACAAGAAAAAAAAAATCAGCTTTGAAAAGCCACCCAAAACTGCAATAGCTCAGTTCAGAGGCTATGACAGGGAGATTTGTACTGTTGTTTGGAGGACTCTTCAGTCACCACATTTCAATAAAAGTATGCTTAGAACTCTAGCCAAATCTAGACCTATTTGATTGAAAGGCTTGATATGTCCAGTGTAAGATCTAAGAGTCTTGACATCTAAAAAAGGTGCTAGAAAGAACAGACTTACTTTGATTACAAGTTATACAGTCTTTTAGTATTGTTTACAGGTGGGGGCAGTTGGTAGTGTTGCAATCTAGAATTGCATCAGACTGGGCTGACACCCAATTCCAGGATTCTCACTTAATGCTTTAGGCTGTGGGCTGGTCCAGATCATAAACCCACACTGATCACTCCATAACCATCAACAGTGAAGCTAGTCAGTTATCATGGAAGAATGTCAAGTTTTTGGCATAGGAATTTGTTTGTAGCACCGAGTAGTGGACCATAGTCTATGGAGGAGACCTTTTGCATGTAAAAAAGGTGTACCATCCCTTACACCCACATGTCCATCTATTCATGCAGTACCTTTTAAAGAGGAAACTGCAGTGACAGTTGTAGGGAAACAATTCCCTTACTTTCCTTTACACATGAATCAGGATGGAGCTATTACTGTTTAATTGCCCAGCTAATTTCAGTGTTTACTCAGGGATAAACAGTTTAATACTTTGCAGTCAGATTCAAAAACAAAAAACAACTTGAGGGTTTGAACTTTTGGGTTCTAGGCAATTGAATTTTCTCCTCCAGAAAAATTACTTCCCACTATACTGAGTTGCATTCAAGCAATGAGAAGTTGGGGGTGTCACAGCAGCAGGGGGTGTTCAAACTTTAGTCACTAGGAATGAAGTTAGAATCCATAGAGGATGAACTAACATGGATCATGCAGAGCCAACTTGGCTTTGAGAGGAGGCTGAAAGAGGCTCAGTTTATAGTAACAAGTAGGAGAAAGGGAACCAGATTTGGGAAATTAAGATTTCTAAAAAGGCATTTGATAGAGGTACTGCATACAAATGTTGCACTTTTTAATTTGTAGAGTAGTTATGATATTGTAGTATAGGGATTGTTTGGCCAATCCACTGTTAGAATAAGTTAGTATTCAAGATGAGGACTTCACTCCAGTAGTGTTTATAGGGTGTTGGGGACAATTGTTTTACATGGTCCTGATTTTTTTGTGGGGGGTGGGAGAAGGAAAGAAAGCATAATGCAGCCAAGTTGGCACATGACAAGGTGGTGAGAAAGCAGGTTGTGTGACAGTCTGCAAGTGAGGGGTAAAAAGCTTCAGATAAAGTGTGGAAAATGAGGTTATGTACTGGCAGAAAAGAGGGAGGAGCCAAGTAGTATTTAGAGTGGTTGGACTGCAGAAAAGTGGGATGGGGTTTTCTGCACAGGTTGAAAAGCTACCATAAGTGCAAATTTTCACATCTGTTATGTGCAAGTTGCAAGGGATTGAGAGAGAGAGATTTACATTTGGAGAGGCAAGGACTGATTAGGGATAGTCAGCATGGCTTTGTGCATGGAAAAATCCTGTCTCACTAACTTGATTTGAGTTTCATGATGTAGCCAGAATATTGAAGAGGACAGCAGCAAACCTTAACTACTTGGACTTCAGTAAAGTCTTTGATAAAGGTTCTAATGTTAGACAAATTAGAAAGTGGATAGATCAGGGAGAGCAGGCAAGATTCCAGCGCCCCACCTCCTACCAAGTCCCACTGATTCAGTTTTTTCCAGGGCTTGTTGATGCTAGACTGTCAGATGTGGTACTGATGTCAAGGTCAATCACCCTTCTGGAATTCAACTCTTGGCTCAAAAAAAGGGATACAGCTAAAAACAAGCCCAAGAGCTGAGTGGCCCTGGTGGAACCCAAACTGGTGGTGTGATTAGGCAGGTTTTGCTTGATAGCATTGTTGCCAACACCTTCTATTGCTTTGCAGAGGAAACTAGATGGAGAGCAGTAATTGGCCCATAATGATTATGGGCGGCAAATTTAATATTGGGCTCAGTTCAAAAGGAAGGAGTAAGAGGTTTTACTAAACCATACAGTGTACTAGTTACTGCACCTAGAAGTGTGAACAGTTTTCACCCCTTAAAGAAGAAAGCTACATTGGAGGCAGTTTCAGTGGATCCCAGTTATGAGGCAATTGAAAAGGATGAGTACAGGCTCAACCCCTCAAAGAGACAAATTAACTTTTAAAAAAAAAAACTTAGTGAGGGGGTGTGGGAGATCAACAATTCCACCATTTTTAATGGTGTAGCAGACAAAGGCAAGTGGCTGGCTTCTAGTTCTACACTGATGTCCAAATGGACATTTTTTTTAAAAAGAAACAACCAGCCATTGGAATGAAGTTTTACAGCATTGAAAGGGACTGTTTAACCTGCTTGCCAAATAACCTGCCAGTAGCCACAAGCTGCCAAGACTTGCTGGTAACTGCACCTTGGCAAAAAGACAAGGTCTCTAGGGCTACTTCCAGGAGAAATTCTTGTCTTTTGTTACATCTGGCACCATTGAAGTGACAGGTAACGATTTTGTTTACTCAATGGGGACAAAAGAGACAATTCAAGTCACTGCATGAAGTAGTGCAATTTGCTATTGCATATAAACAAACCTACCTTCACATTTTCCAGATACTAAGTACATTCCTTGAGGACAAGCACATTTGTAGCCTTTAGTTTTCAATGGAGAAAGCAAGCATATATGGCTGCATTCTGCTTTCTGACATTGATGACTACCTGCAAGTGAAAATAGTTGAAGTTACCAGTAACAGGTTGATTAGAAACATCCACTGCTTATGGTTTCTGTTTGCAAAGCAAGATGACCAAAACAGGACTTACTCTTTTGTTGCTGGTTGGTTATGGTCAAAATGAAAGCTACTGCAGGATCTACTAAGACCTCCTTTGGCCTTCTCAGATGGTGGGATATACGGAGAATTTTATTTGCTTCAGACCAGTAGAACCAGCCTTCAGATACTGAAAATCCTTGAGGTTTTGTGATGTCCAAGTTGGAAACTGAGAATCTCCCAGTGCCATCCACATTGATGGATTCAACAGACTTGCAAAAAGGCTTAAAGTTAGTCAGCTTCAGTGCTAAAAAGACAACCTTTACAGTAAAATTCAGCCAAATTGGTTCACCTTATCTACAAGAGAATATTAGTGCCAGGACACATTTTTCCTTAATTTACTCATCAACACAAGACCCCATGATAAAATGGTAGGTAATCCTAAATACTTGAAAACATTTCAAACACTAAAAATTAGTTTCAGTTGAGAACAATGTTTATGTCAACTAGAATCTACTTTGCTGCTAATCAAGTTAGCCACTAGCAGCCATTTGTCCAGTATGGGTAGTCTTTCAGACTAGCATTTTGGAACATTTAAAGACACTTGAATTCCCCTCATGAAGCTGTATGTCCAGTTAAGACATTCCAGCAGGCCAGGTGCACTTACTTCATAATCTTCATTGAACCAGTAGAGTGTCTCAGTTGGATAATCAAGAGTCAATCCAATTGGTTTCAGGGAATCAAGAACCACAATGACTTTTCTTCCAGATCCATCCATTCCTGCAGTCTCAATGTGAACCTTGGAGTGGATGTTATCTCTTTGGTTTACCCAGAACATGCAACTGAAAAAATTAATTTGTTGGATTCATGATCCCTTTGCAGCTGAACAGATTCAGTTAAAGTATTATTAATGCAATTAACACTCCATTAAAACTAAATTTAGTTCCTGCTATATGCCTTCTTAATGTGAGAAGACACTCCCTCAATACAGAGTTGATAATTCCATAATTGGAAAAAGTAGACTTTGAAAAACTCAACCCTTGAGTGGGCCTTCGATTCATAACTGAAGTTGTATAGCGACATTGTCTCAACGTTGAAGAAAGCTCAGACCCTCTAGTTGTAGAGAATGGAACTTTACTCAAAAATTCCATTTTCTTGGAAATGAGTAAAGAGTGGAGGTGAAAGGAAATTAAAACATGCAATTTTACTGGAGAAGTTTGCATGAAGCTGTTTGGCTTGCCAAGACTGGAGGAGGCACTAAAAGTGCATGCCACAATGGTGACTCTCCATTTAGATCTTGCCAGTGAGCATTTGTTTTACTTAGAATCATTGACATCCAAAGCTGGTTTGGCTGTTGCTCTTCCAATCTTGGAAAGGAATTTAAACAGTCATGCAAGTAGCTTGGTTTGCAGTAGTTTTGCTTTTTCTTTAAGTTGTACTTTGCTGTAGAGGATAGAAGTGATTTCTTATGCATACTCAAACTACTCACTCAATCTGTAAATATGGTTCATTTCATTTCAGTACATGCTTGGTTATCATGGCATGGTGGGGAGGAAGTATTTTCCTAGCTAAATACAAGAACAGCAAGAGGAATAAAACTGTTAAGGACCATTTAATATGCAATTGGGGGAACTGTTTGACAATTTCTGCAAGGTCATTTTAACACCAGTTAACATCTACATGATGTGCACAAAGTATTAAATCCTAGGTTACAATACACTGCTTGAAACAAAGGAATAGACCAGTGGGTGTGGAGATGATCAGAAGGATGTATAGAAGACTGAGGGGCAGGGTTAAAGTGGATTGAAAGCAACTGCTCCCTTTTAGTGGAATGGGAAAGAGCAAGGGAACAGCTTTCAAAGAAAAAGTGAAAGCCAGGGATTAGAGGGAAAATTCTGTGGTGAGAATCTGGAATGTACTACTAGGGAGGACAGTAGAGGTGGGAAAACCTAAATTTAGAAATCTGCTTGGATGAGCACTTGAAGTGTTATCATGTGTAAAGGCCTTGGGCACTGTGCTGGAAAGTGGGACTAGTATAGATTTAGTAATTTTTGGGCCATTGAGTCCACACTGACTAAAGGTTAACTCCATGATTCCAATACTGTATCTTGCTTCCTCCTGGTATCTTCTGATCTCTTTAGCCTCTAGTATTATCAAATTCCTTTTGATAGAAGGAAAGGAATGTTTTTGGCCTCGATAGCTGGAGAAGACTTCCATTGGCTAACCAGGAAGTATGCACACATTCTCCTTTAAGGATTGGTCCATGGAAGTGGTATACAGGTGTTGTCTAGCAACACCTGTTAGATAAAAAGTGCACAATTGCTAATCATGAATACTGTAAAAAGGGAAAGTGACCAGGAGTCTTAATTATGTATTAGCAACATCTTAGTTCCAAGAAACTTACCTTTTTGCTGGTAGGAGTAGCAGCTGCTCTGGTCTTATGTTCTTCTCCAGGATGGTTGCAAATCCATTGCCATTAGACATGCCAGCACAAATTCTCTCCTCAAGGAGGTTGGTCCAGTAAATCAGCCCAGTGAACCAGTCAATAGCAATACTAGTCACTCCTTTATCTGGGGTGGGGGGAAAATTGAAAGTTATCCATCATGGCTTGATAGGTCATTAATTCTGGTAGTTTTTAAATCACTTGGATTTTTGAACTAATTTGCTTGTATCCAGTGTTGCAGGAAGATCAGGTGAACAAGCAGAATTTGAAAAAGTAATCTCAGAAGGGAGGGATACAAGGTTTGACTTGCATTTCATGAAGAATCAGATTTGGTGGCAAGGTATCAAGTCAGTAATTGACTGATAATTACTTTGGGCAATGTCTACAAGTTCAAAGTTCTACCATAAACAGGTCCTATACCCAAACACCCTCAGCTGCTGTCACCTCCCACTGTTAAAGGGAAGATCAAAGTTGGTTAGGTATGGAGTGATGGCCCAGGTAATTCCAAAAGTCAAGACCTCCTAGATTAGCACCTCCAATTTTGAAGTACAATTTCACTACCAGTGGTATGCTATCTATATAAAAGAGATAGACAACATTGCAAGCCACTTAGACTTCTCCCAAGTTTGTCACTAGAACAGCATTTGGAGATACTGCTTGCCAGTTCCCCACTGAGTCACTATTTGCAATTGCATGACTCTGCATCATGGCAATTTCCTGGATTCCCTGTATAATTGAGGGTGTACCTACACTGTAGGTTATTACTACTTCCTAGTAGAATTAGGAAGTGACAGTAAATCCCAGTTATTTAGTCAGTCACAATCATTGAAACAGGCTTTTTGGCCAATCATGTCTATGCCAGCCTACAAACTACACTAGTCCCATTACCTGCATTTGGTCCATAGTCTATGCTTTGACATTTAGTGCCTAACCAGATGCTCACATTGAGCATGTACCTGCCTCCACCATCCTCTAGCAGGATGTTCCATGTTTCCATCAACCCTGGGTGAAAAACCTCAGATCTTCCAAGTCACTTACTCTGCACCTTAAACTCACATCCTAGTCTTAGATCCACCCTATTCATGCTTCATTTTGTATAGTCCCTCAGCCTCCTCCACGCAAGAGAGGAAACCCAACCCATCTAGTCTTTCCTTAAGGAGTTTTCCCAGGCAACATCCTGAAGATAGAGATATTCACCAGTGCAGTCATGGCCTTCTCTCCTGTTCTGATAGGGATGCAGTGGGTCTTTGATGTTGGTAGCCTTTTTGCCACAAAGCCAGTGTAAATGGGAGCCCATGGATTGTATGGTCTGGGCTGTGCACACAAGCTTCTACAGTTTCACTGTCCTGGGTAAAGCAGTTGCCATACCAGGCCATTATGCAACCAGGTAGCATGCATTCAATGGTGCATCTGTAAAAGCTGCAGAGGATCCTTACAGACATGCCAAGTTACCCGAGGTGCCCAAGAAGCATTGCTGTACCTTGACTGTCACATCTACGTGCAAGTCTAGGACAAGTTGTTGGTTATAATTGCTCCCTAGGAACTGGAGTCTCTCCACCCCCTCAACTTCACTTTTGATCACATTGGCTGTTACTTTTGGACCAGCCTTCCATGTGGGACATGGTCAAAAAACTTCATTGAGGGTAATGCTTTTTCAAAATGCATCTGAAGAAAAAGAGCCAGTTAAATTAGACAGGATTTCCCTCCAACAAAATCATTCCAAATATCCCCAATCCAACTCTCCCTTTCTAAGTGTTGATTAAGACCAAATTGATTTTCTGAAGAAAATCTCTACCACTGAGATTAGACTAACTGATCTGTCATTACCAATCTATCCCTGCTACCTTTTGTGAAAAGCAACATTAGCTATCCAATCATCTGCCATGTCACTTGTGACCAAAGTATTCAATCAGGACCCAACAAACTTCACTTCATCTCCCCAGCGCCTGATGAAATGCGAATCTTCAGCTACAATGTCTCATCTTTTTCCTACAAAAATTCATTTAAAACTTCATCCATATCCTCTGGCTCTATGCAGGAGGAGTTGTCCCTTTGGTCTAAGGGAGGCACATACTTTTAATTCCAAGGCATTTTGCTTAATGGAATCTGCCAAAGACACTGTGGCCCCCATCATTTCTTCAAATACCCTCTTACACATAGTCCTGATGGGCCTCTAATACTCAGTATCAACATAGGCTTCCTCTTGGGAGTGTTCTCAGCATCCACGTTTGCTCAACGTGTCACCTCTGCCTTGAGAGATTTTGGTCCTGAACTCGGGTTAAAGACTCCCACTTTCCAGATGTAGTTTTAACTACAAAGTAGATGCTCCCAATCGATGTTTGCCAGATCCTGTTTAGTGATATTTAACTTGGCCTTTCCAATTTAGACAGTTAACTTCTGCTTTATCCTCATCTCTTTCCACAAGGACTTGAAACTTGGGTATGGTCACTATTCCCAAAGTGGTCAACCACTTGACTGGCTTCATTCCCTCAGATAAAGTTTAAGATGCTTTATCTCCAGTAGGGCTGTTAGAAATTACTGTCCAATCTTGTCACTGGAGGAAAATCTTGGCATAGTTGAAAATCCCAACTGTATAACTGTTACTCACATCTGCTCCCCTCTTCCTCTGATGGGGATGGAAGGCTTGTAGTAAAATCCCAGAGGTGGTGATTTCAACTTTATATTTCTAAACTCTACCTAGATGGCTTCATTTGAAGAAGCCAAGACATTTTCCCACTTGAGGAATCGAGAGTCTCACCACTAAGGACAATACTTCTACCTCTTACATCCCAATCATGCCTGAAACTGTATCCTAAAATGTTGAACTGCCAGTCGTTCCCTTTGTTCAAGGATGAAAGTCAGTAACTGTAATAATCATTCCACGTCAACACTTCAGGTTCACCCACCTTACTAGATAAGCTCTGCATTAAAATTTAACTTTGAACCACTCGTGTGCCTAATCATGCCATTTCTCCTCCACCTGCTGGATTGTCCTAGTATACCTCTAATTCATTTTAGATCTAGTGTTTGGAGCAAGTGGAGTGCCCTATCTTCTACCAGAGGTAGTTTCAACATTTCTAGCAAACTGGAGAAGGCTCCTAGTGGGGATACTGGATCCCTTTCTCTAGGTCCAAGCTGGATGGGTTACATGGGTCCCACTTTCCACAAAGTGTCCCAGTGACCCAAAATTGAAAGTCCTCCCTCTTACACTATCCTTTAGCCACATGTTTGACCTATCTTTCTAGGTGTCACATGGCACTGGAAGTAAACCAAGATTAAAACTACACAAATCCTTCAGTCTGCTAATCAACTTACTGTTGCAAGCCCTCTTAAACTGATATTCTGATACAGAAGTGTTCAATAGCCACTGGATTGTTCACTCTCCTTGGGAGGGCCCTGCAGCTGCTCAGATATGCCTGACCTTGGCACAAGAGAACATGTCAGGAGTCTTGTTAGCAGTCACAGAACTGCCTGTCAGTTCCCCTTGCAAATTGGGTCCACTATCACTACACTGCAGAATAACCAACATGGTACCACAGACTTGTCTGTTGCTGTCTCCCAACTAAAAACATTCAATATGTTTTGGGGTGAGAATGGATAGATGACTAACCACATGCCCACACCTAGTCCTCTTGGACGAGAGAACATTGTGGTTGCAGGCCTTGCTTATGCTGTGACCAGCTCAAGTGTCCTGTTCATAAACACTTAGATGTGAATATGTTTAACAAGCTTTAATTCTAAATACTTGCCCAAAAAACCATGATTCAGCAGCTCTATTGGTGTATGCAGGTAGAGAATTCCAAGAAATTAGTTTTGCTAATTAGGGCCTAAATAAGCTTTATAGCCAAATGGTCTGTTAAAGTGACAAAAAATCCTGTTTCACTTTAGTCATATTCTATGCTTGAAATTTAATTCAACGTGTTAGGAATTTAAGTGTACAAGATTAAAATGTCTACAGTAGACCTTAAGTTGGTGTAATAATCCCACAGGATGGAGACAAAGTCCTATTGAGTACAGGAGTTCTTCAGGCATGCACATTTCTTGTTGTAGTATTCAAAGTCAAAATTACCTCTGTAAATTGGAATGCTGGAGTTTTTGGCTAATGACCAAAATATACTCCCTTCCACATCAACCCAGTAAAAAGCAGCCTTTGCTAGATCATAAGCAACAGCCACAACTTCCTTGTGAACCGCCATTGATGTGTACTTCTTGCTGTTTAAATCCAGTATACCTAGACTTTGCTGTCCAGCTGTTACTAAGTAGTTAGTGCCTTCTGCAAAAGAAAAAAGTGTCAGTCATATCTGGGATGTACACCTGTTGCTCAGAGCTATTTGAAAGGTCAAGTGACCCTTGCACACAAACTGAATTGACTATGTTGTACATACCAAACATTTTCAGTTGAAGATATGCAGCTAAGTTAAAGAATTATTGATACTTGACATGCAGTTGGTGACATGCTTCAGAGCAATTAATTCAGTCCAACACCCAAGTTAGTGTTTTCACTAAGTGGTAAGAAAATAGTGTGACTACTAAAAAGGAATCAATTTTAAATTCCTCACTTGATTAGAGAATGAAACTAAAAATTAAAGTTCAGAACTTGTATTTTCTTTTACAAAAAAGTCTTCCATTACATGTTGGTACCTGCATAATCCCAGACAGCTTGTTCTTCAGCTCCTTATTACAATACTCCTTTATCTACATCTGTAAACAGTGAGCTCTCAAATTATAGCTCAAGTGCAGTGTCCAAGAGACTTTGATTGCTTTTATTGGTCAGTGCCCTGAGTAAAGGAGTTGGAGATTGTGGCTATACAGGCCTTTTTTGAAAAGGTTTGCAATTTTGCTCTCTGCTATAGGAAGCAGGTTGTGAAACTTAGAGGTTCAGAAAAAAGAAATAAGGATTTTGCTAGGGTTGGTGAGCTTGAGAGAGGGAGAGGCTGAATAGGCTGGGCCTATTTTCCTGAAGTGTCAGAGGCAGAGGGTGACCTTAGACATTTGAAATCCGAGGGGCATGGATAGGGTAAATAGACAGCCTTTTCCCCAGCATGAGGGGAATCCAAAACTAAAGAACATAGGTTTAAATGAGGGGGAAGATTTAAACACTGAATAAGGATTTTTCCACATGGGTGGAATGTGGATGGAATGAGCTGCCAAAAGGAGGTGGAGCCTGGTACAATTATGGCATTTAAAAAGGCACATCTGAATGGGTATATGAATAGGAAGGGTTTAGAAGGATATGGGCAAAATTGGACTAGATCTATTTAGGATACCTGGCCAGCATGGATGAGTTTCACGAACAAGGTGTTTGCATGTTATACATCTGACTGGTGCTTCTCTTGAGGTTCACATGATTTACACAAAAGCTTGTTATATCATACTGACATTTTAGTCCATTAGTTGTTGATCAACTCCCAGAGCAAGATTAAACATTACATTACATGCAGGGTGCTAAATACTGTAGCTGAAACAAACAGCAAGATGGGATTGATGTATACACTTGGCAAAGCTTGTGCCAGTTCAGTGCAGTTATAAAAAAATGCACAAGCTTTATTAATGACTTGACTCCACAGACATTAGTTGTGCAGATATACTGGGTAAGTAAACATTTACTTAGGCATGAAGTGTGGAGAATGAAAGCAGATACTAAACAGGAATTCACAAATTGCCTTAAGCAAATGGTGGAGAGATGCTTAACATACCCAAGTCTGGAAAAGAGGCATTTCATTCCAAATGACACCCAGATCGGTGATTGTAAATTGAAGTTTCATTGAAAAGTTTAATAATTCAAAGTTCTATTAATTTTTAAAGTAATAGAAGTGTCAGCTGGGAGGGAATGGAGAACAAGGACCAAGCAGGAGCAAGGTATGAATTTTGCAAGTAATGACGTTAGTGGAGTCAGACAAACAGATAATATGCCTATCAAGGAAGGGATTGGTTCATGTGGGAAGTAATGTGTGCCACATTTGCCAGAAGAAAAAACCAACAAGATAATCTAATTGTTCCTCAACACTAAGGTATTTCCATAATCTGTCATGGTCAACATCCAGGGGACTACATTGTCCTGAAACAGGATGATTAGCCAATTAAGTGTGGTGGTTAAGAGCATGCCAGAGACTGACATTCCACCATGAGTAACCTCACCTCCTGACTTCTCAAAGCCCACTTACCATCTGCAATAGGTAGGAGTGATGGTCATATTCCATTCCTTGTGGGCTGCACCTCCAACATCCAAGAAGCTTGACTGGAGCCCAAAGTAGTCTGCTTAATTAGCACCTATCTGATGCCTTCATTTATTTCCTCCATTGAAGGAGGGAGTACTACCTACATTGTGCATTGCAGCAACTTAAGTTGCCTCCAAAGCAGCTAAATTAATGACCTCCTGAAGCTCAGGGGAAGATACAAAGTGTGGGACCACCATCAAGGTTTCCCCTCCTGGTTTTGTAATCCTGATTTGGAACTCTGTTCCTTACTGTCACTGGGTCAAAAATCCTAGTATTCCCTCCCCAATAGCAGGTAGGTATGCCTACATACCATTGATTGCAGCAGTTCAAGAAAGCATCTCACCATCATTTGGGGCAATTAGGGATAGGCAATATGTATTAGTCTAGTCAATGTCTAGATACTGTGGATGAGAAAGCATTTACTCAAGTTGAGATTTAAGTTGAGTTTTAGGTACAGCTTCCTATATTATTTTCCCTAGGAGCTGCCTAGATTTGTTGGAGCAATGTTTGCATGATTTAAGTTGGGTACTAAATTACACATTTAGATTTTGGCTTCTTAGCTTCAGAAAAGCTTGTTTCCAGAGGGAAAAAACCAATAGAAGGAAGACATGGGAAAATGCCTTTTAAGATGAAGAAACTATTGCACAAAGAAATTTCTGGAGGAACTCTTCAGATCAGGCAGCATCTGAAGAGAAAGCAGTTAACATCTTGCAGTGAGACATTAATTCAGCTTTCTCTATGTAGATGCTGCTGGACCTGTTGAGTTTCACCAGCAATTTTTGTCTCAGATCTTCAGCATCTGTGGTTGTGTATTGTTAAAACATGTGACAATTTTGCTACATGTAACAAGTCTCTAAACAAGTTCAGAGCAACTAAATTAATAAGTAATTAAGTTAAGAATGTTAGTTTCTTACCAGTACAGTTTTTGTCAGCTTGTAAAATCATGCCTGCTGGGCAAAAACAGTGCGCACCCCAAATAGTTTCTTCACACAACATACTGCAGCCTCCACCATTGTCCCAACACTTCTTACCTAAGCAGCAAGCAGGGAAACAGATAAAAGTTACAGGTAATTCTTGCACAATAAAATTACAAGTGTAGAACACTTCAATTCTGCAATACCAAACACTGGTTACTTTGCCAGAATCATAACTAGTCAAAAGGGAGTGTTTAATTAGTTTAAGTTTAAAAACAAAGGCAATTAAGTAAACATTCTGGAGGTACACCAGAATTTGTGGTGCAGATAGTGGAATGATCCATTTATCAAGCCACTGATTCAGCAGCTGTATCCATTGCATCAAGATGCAGGAAATTGAATGTCATACTGAAAAACCTTAGCCAGTTGGATTCACACCACATTGCCTGTTTTTAAGTGTTATTCAAGTCAGTCTGTAAGAGTACTGTGTACTCCATTTAATTACTTGCGCAAGTTTTCAATTTGCACAGCAAGGCAAATCAAATTCTGAGAATTAAAATGTTTATGAAAGTATCAAAAATTAGTGCCAAAACTCAGTTCAGTTCTTACCACAAGATTCTGGTTCATCAATCCCATCAACGCAGTCTGATATTCCATCACATATCTTATTCTCAGATAAGCATTTGTTACTGCATTTGTATTCTGAACAGGTCTCTTTATGTTCAGCTTCTACAAAGGAAAAAACTGGCTTAGTCTAGTCTATTGTAAAAAATCTGGGTTTAAGTTGTCTATCCAATGCATTCTGTATTGCTTTTGAAAATATATACAAGCAGGAACACCAGGTGTTAAAACAATGTTACATGAAACATATCTTGACAGAAAAATACAAGGTGACCAGGTTTGTACATCCTGACAGGCAAGATTATGTTTAGTACACATTTCACTCAAAGCTGTTATGTACACCTTGAGTGCTCATGGCATGGGGGCATGTTTCAGCTCATTTTCTGCTTCTATCCAGAAATTGTAGATTCCACTAATGCTTTAGTGGACTAATAAACCACTAAAGCTGTGCACCTCAGATGTATTCACCAAGTCTACATATTCCAGCTTACTCTATCCAATAACAACCCAAATTGTTAACAATCCTTTACTGCAATTACATTTGCTTACTGGGGTGAAAGCAGAATTCCTGTCATGAATTGTTGGTCAGCATTGGCTTCCAATAGAAGCTAATTTTCAGTGAAGGGGTGATTTTGTCACCACTTTAAAAGCCTGGGGAATACATTATAGTTGAGACTAAACTAGTTCACAACAACACTTACACTTCAAACGTGGAAGCAGATAGCATTCAGGAGCAGTAATGCCATTTGTCTTTCCATTCTATAGCCTGGGAATGGGGTCATACTTTGACCCAGAATTTCTTTACCCAAATCAGAGGGTCCCAGCAAGCAAAATTGGTATTGCAGAATCTGCATTGACAAATCAAGCTTTTCTAAAAATCACTACCAGATTAGAAAGTGTAACTCTAGTTTTAAAAAGCATTGTTCTTTTAATCTGGGGTCCAAACCCAATGTTAAAAGTGGGAGGTTTTCTGGGACTGTTTCCACCCCCCCCCCTAATATTTGATGAAATATTTAGCTGGGAAGATGGAGACAATTCTTTCAAAACTAAAAAAAAAGAGAAGAAGCATACAGCAGGAGTGATAAACTAAGTTTGTGCCCACCATAGATAATACTACCTCCCAGATGGAGGCAAGTTTGATCTTCTGTTCTAGAACTGCAACGATTACAGCACTGAACTCACCACAGAATTCCTCGTCAGAGTTGTCCCCACATTCATCAACACCATTGCACTTGGCAATCATAGGAATGCATTTTTGGTTCCTGCATGGCCATTGCATTCCAAGGCAGGTTGTGTTTGGGCAGTTAATTTCATCTGAACCATCAGCACAGTCTGTTTTTCCATCACACACATTCTTCTTGTCAAGGCAGAAAGTACCATCATTACACTGAATTTTCTTTTCATCACATCTTGCATACCCTAGGATAGATGCAAATTCCACAAGTTAGTCTTAAATCAAGACTACACAACATTCATAAGAGGCTGTATAGCACAGCCATTTGCTCTAATATTTGTAGCAATTGTTTTAAAAATCAAAATTCTAGCTGCTTTAATTTAAAAGCATTTTCCAGTTGGAGCTAGGAGACCTGAAGGAGGGCCAGACCTGAAACATCAACTGTCCTGCTCCAGTACTGTCTGACCTACTGTGCTTCTCCAGCTCCACATTTTAGTGTCTGACTTCCAGCATCTGCAGTCTTTACCATCTCCTACCTGAAGTAGGATTACTTTGATTTCAAGTTGTCACTATTACAATACAATTTCTGAGCCTGTGTGTAGAATCAGACCCAGGCTGCTCAAGAGCAGCAAGTGGTTAGCATTGCTGCCTCACAGCACCAGGGATCCAGGATCAATTCCAACCTCAGGTGACTGAGTTCACATGTTCAACATGTCTACAGGGTTTCTGCTGGGTGCTCTGGTTTCCTCCCAGTTCAAATGGGAGTGTGTTAGGTGGATTGGCCAAGCTAAATTGTGTAGTGTTCAGCGATATGTAGGTTAGATGCATTAGCCATGGGAAATGCAGGGTTACAGGGATCAGTCTGGGTGGGATGCTCTTCAGGTCAGTGTGGACTTGTTGGGCCAAGTGGCCTGTTTCCACTGTGGCAATTCTATTAATAATTTGCAATTTATGTATCACTTTGCATGTGGCAATGGCAATTATTGAAACAATTAGAAATATGAAATAAACACAAGTCACATTGCATAGGGGCAGGAAACTAGTTTACAATCCTTAATGCAGCACTGGCTCATTTGAAACTACCAGGCCAGCATATTCAATAATGTCATAGTTAGCAAAAGTGGAAGCTCTACTCCATGTGTTCCATTTGGGATTTATTATTGTTTTGTATAATTAGGCCATATGCTCTTGATAACCAAACTAAAATCCTAAATCTCAATTACTTTGCACATGATCTGCAATTTGATTGCAGAAGTGCAAAAGTTGATTTTAAGAAATTTGTGGGCTCCAGCAACTAAGCTCATTTTCCCTTGCTCTGAGAAAGATGCAGGTCTGCCTCCAGAAGCAATTCCTAGTCATAAGAGAGAAAAATTTCTGTAAAGCTAAAGTTCCATTGACAATAGGACTTCAGCACATGGTAGGGGACATTAGTATTACTTAGTACTAGCAAAAGGCTGATGATCAAGGCTCAAGTTCAAAGCAAGCTAGTCAAGTCATTGAGGAATTAGAGTTCCATTAATAAACAAACATTGATGTACAAAAAGCTAGCATCACAAATCATGTAATTACTGCTGGATTGTAGTAAAAATCCAAGATGAATAGCACCAGCTTCAACACATAGCATCTATATTGTCACTCAAATCTCCAGCAGCAATTGATTAATATTGCCCAACATAGTCAGCAACAAGCTAGTTAAGACAAATAGGCCCTACCAGCAACATGATCTTGTTAGTTAATTCTTATTGTGTCTGCCTTAGTTTTGCTCAGCTTCATTCAACTGGCACCCTTCCATGCTTTTACACTGGCTGTTGTTGCTTGCTTCACCAATCATCCTGCCTCTTGAAGTGATCCCAAACATTGTTCTAGTAATTTGTCTCACTTGGTCACCACTCATTACAGAACAAAACAGTTTTGGGTTCAATAGAACCCAAGGAACCACAAGAGCACTGCGGTGACTATCTCTTGACCAAACAATCCCAGTTCAAGTCCCATAAGCTTCAAATAGGTCATACCAAGTTGATTAAACAACCTCGCTATTAGTGGATAGGGCAGGGGACACCAACCCAGCTCATCTCCTTTATGCATCTCCCCCCATTATACGTTTACAGAATACCAATTCATCTCACCACAGTGTTCATCAACACCACCAGGACAATCATCATCTCCATCACACAGCCAAGACACTGGGGCACAGCCATCTCCACAGGGTGTCTGCCAAAATAATCGACACCGATCCCCACCTGCAGGTCAAGCCGAGAGTCAGCGAGGAAAGCACAAAGCTACAAAAATCAATGCGTGCGCTCAGAGCGCAGGGCCGTCCAACCGCACACAGCTACTGAAATCTCATTGCGAGCGCAAGAGAAATTAGAACATTAAAACACATCCAGTTTTTAAAAACCTCACTATCATACACTAAAGTCAATTACCTTCAATGCCTAAGAATTGACGATCTCATTAGCTCAACTTTAGCAACTTACCCACAATATTAACGTCCCTGTCAGAAAGAATCAAGCAGTTCGTATAGATCCCCAGGAGCAGCCATTTGAAAATAATCCATCCCATTTTCTTTTGCGCGTGTCCCCCTTTCCTTGGCTGATCCAAGCCAGCACCCAACTAAATG